CATCTCCATATAGTCAAAGCTGGTAGAAAAACATGTAAAAAATTCTAAATGCAGCAAAAGTGATTCTTATTGATAAAGAACAATAATTTTTTTTTGGATTTTCATTGCTAATAAAGAAAGCCATGGGTCTTTTCAGCCCATTTCGATATGTTGAGCTGCTGTGTGTTTTTTGATCATATGAAAAAAGCATAAATATAATGTTTAATAAAAAAAAAAAAAAAAAACGGGTTTCAATTTAAATACTCTAAAACATAAAAGCTGGTCAAATACGAATCTAACCAGACTCAACTTACTGCACAACCACGCAGAATGCTTCTTCCCTGCAGCATATATTGATGCATTTATTTGAAGTTGTTGGTGGGCTCGTCTCTTTTTCCTCCGATCATTTTTCCTCTATTCTTAGAGAGATATAATCCCTGTGTCTTTAAACGGTGACCAGGACACCTAGTTTTCTGTATCTAATTTAACTTCCCTGATATGAAATGTATTATAAATGATAAAACTCTTTTTACATGGCAGCTGAATTACAGTGAAGCAACATCACCAACATGTCAAACAGGACAATAAGAGCTGATTACATGAAATCCCATTAAATTGTGCAGGAAGGTGGGATGTCTGATTCCTTTTGAAACCAGGAGAGCTTATAAGCGCTGATGTGGTTCGCTGTGTGATGGATGCGTCTCCTCCCTGGGGGGAGTTGATGTCTTTTAGCTTTACTGTAAATGTTTACATTCCGACATTCAGTGACGCTATCTGCTAATAGTTTGTAGAACTAGCCCAGAGAGTTCTCTGGGTGGGATTATATGTGAAGTGTGTGTGTGTGCGTGTGTGTGCATGTATCTGTGGGTCCAAAGGATGCAGATATGACTTTAAACAGAAGTATTTACTGTCACCCCTCTTTTTCCAAAGACTTGGCCTCCATCTGCAGAGGGCCAGCATAGTCACAACAGAAACACTCACTGCTGCACTATATACATTCAAAACATCTATAGGTTTCTGATGCTATGAATTTTAAGTAGTCATAGTTCAAACACTTTTTATGACTAGATTCTTACTCAGTCATGTGAGCTCTTAATCATTTAATTTAGGCTAGCAGCCTTTGCTCTTATGTGTAATCCTACATTAAAATGAGCTCCCTTGAAAATATATTAATGCAACAAAGGGTGCATTGGGAATTAATGCTCTACTGCTGCTCAGGTGACATGTGAGGATACTCAATCAATAGATGTGTATCTTGAAAGTACAGCCAAGCGTGGATTAGGTGGGGAACGTCATTCCTGTGTTGCAGAGCAGAGAGGTCGCCCCACCCTGCAAGCCTTTATCTTAGCTGAGAAATCTTTAGACACACAAAGACAACAGGATATTACTTGTTTCCACTGGTTTTAATACTCATTGTTCAAATCTGCCTTTTAATACTTGTTGTTTTTTATAAGTTGCTCAACCTAGTTTGGAGAATTCAAAGGACCAAAAAAAAACATTTTGTTCAAAGCTTTGCTTTATATCCATATTCCTCTTCTCTCTCTGCTTCCTTGTTACACTGAAAAATGAAGTGCAACGCAAAAATTGTAGACATGAGCTACATACACATTTAAACACAAGCTATGTTTTTTTGAGTACTTGCTGAAGCACATTCCTGTGCAGAGACAGTTAGCGCTGACAGTGCTGTGACCCCTGATGGAATCACAGTAAACCAGCTTAACTGGAATGAAGTTTTACAGTAAGATCTTTTATCTTTGCCAGATTAGATTAAATGAAGCTTAAAGAAAATGTGATGCATTAAAAGGTGTGGTGCATGCTCACCAGTGATGCCTGAACTGATATACAACCTGCAGCTGAATGACTGAGCTCTGAGCACTAAACACTTAATCTTTTATTACATTTTTCAGACTCGTGATAAATAATCTTTTCCCTCTTTTATGGTAAAGATTTGGAAATACCAGTCTCACTCCATTATGATTTACTTTTTAGAGCAAATGATTTGAGTCTCAGTAAGTTTTCATCTTATTCAATTTAATTCAAAAATACTTCTTTAATCACAAAAGTGTATTAAATGTTGGGTATTGAAGGATGTCATTAAAATGTAGGCATCAAGAAGTACTTCATGCAGGCTGGACAAGTGTTCTTCAGCCTTGCCAGCCTATTACCATGCAAATACAATAACAAAGTCAGTGCTATCTGATATCAACCAAGTGACGGTTGTGTTTATAAGCTGGAAGTGCATTTGAATAATTGCATTGCTACAGAGGACAAGCATATGTCATGCATGAAAAACAAAATGATGACAAACACATTTACTTGCAGACTTTCTTATCTTTTGACTCCAAAGACATTTCATGTCAGTCTTCACTCATTCTAAGACCAACATTGCCAATTTAAACGTAATGCTTTGTCAGACTGTTCTTTTGAATCTGGCTACAGAGGGTTGGGGCGGCTAACTTAACAACATATACAAAGGAGTTATAATGGGGTATTAACTGTTGAATTGTCTGTTTTTATTAGTATAGTGCACGTTTTTTTTTATTTGTGTTCTGATATTTTCTTCAGCCCAATGTTTTTGATCTTTACACTGGAATCTGAACTGGAGCTAAAATCAACACAAAAAAGAACAAGGATAAATGCATTAGTGGATCTCGGAATGTCTTATTACTGTTACCTAATTCCTCCAGCCACCAAATATCAATTGTTTAACTTGTATGATAGTTGCACAAATCATATAGACAGAGCTCCTAAATTTTATTTAATTCCTTTTCAAAAAAGGAAAATAAACTGTAATGACACATATACAAGGTTATCGTTTGTTTGCATGCTCAGTAACAGTAAATTGGCACTATGGTGAAACCTTTAAACCCTAAAAATGTCCATGAAATTAATTCTTGTGAAATAAATTCTTCAACTAAAGCAACTAAACATGTAAAAGTAAAATGATAAACAAAGCAGAATACCTAAAGTGTAAAACATATTAAAATTTATGACCTTCCATGCCCTCCTGCCTTTAAAAGCAGATTAATAACCCTCTAAAAACAAACTCTGTCTGCATGCAAAGTGTTGCAAAATATCACGTTGAAGTTAATTCCTTGGTGACAGGTTGACAAACTGCTCTCCCACATGATCCCTTTCTCCTTTGCATTACTGTAATAACTAAATCCCTTTGCTAAAAAAACTTTTAATATCTTCTGCTTCAAAAAATGCAGAGGAATGTTTGCTTTCTCCATGTGTATAAAGTCCTTTGCAAAAAGTATTTCTATCGGTTCAACTTTTTTTCCCATATTGTCACGTTACAACAGACTTCAGTCTGTTTCATGGGGATTTGATATGATAGATGAACAATATTTGATTATCTTTTACAACTAAAACTATACATTCAGTTTATTTTATTCTAATATTCCATCGTAAAAAGTAGTGTAACAAACAGGCAGAAATCAACTAAGTAATCTGTAAAATGTAATTCTTGCCATGGGGCTGTTCTGTGAGGAGCAACATAAGTAACCAAACAGCATTTTAGACAGTTTAGAAAATATTATTTTTTTTAAAAAACACTGAATATATGCATCACATTTCAATCTACATTCGGGGAACAAAATCCAAGAGAGCTTTGATTAGAGAGGAAGCCAAGAGACCAATGAAAACTACGATTGAAAGCTCAGGTGAAAGAAGTAGCTTCAGCCTAATAATTATGTTAAATTATGTAAGGTTATTATATGTTTTATTGTTATTCACAACATTACATTTAACATTAAACATAAAATCCATTGATGTTCTCTTAGTGTTTAATGCAGTTCTCCAAGCTAGTAACAGATGGTGGAAATGCTGAGGCACGTTGATATACTTGAGCATCTATTATCTGGTCCTGAGCTTCTTGGCATAATAAGCAGATATTTAAGGTGGGCAGTTGAATGTCTAGATCAGTCACCAGGAACAAATATTAAGGATGTGTTCTGAGCTCCTAACTTGCAGGAATGCCCAAAGTTGGTCCTGAAGGTCCACTGTCCTGCAGGTTTTAGAGGTTTCCCAGCTTCAGCACAACTGATTCTGATCTTTTCAGCTGTGCTTAAGAAGGGAAACCTCTAAAACCTGCAGGACAGCAGTCATTGAGGACCATCTTTGGGCATAACTAAGGGTTTGTCTGCTTATGCACAACTACTAGCACAGACCAAATTGTTTATTACACAGGGTACATAACTATTGTCATCACTGGTTATAGTCAATCTTGGGAGTAAGTGGGGCAGCAAACAACATTTTGCAGAGGGCTTCAGAAGGTTTATCAATGAGGAGTTTGTCCGAGTTAATATCTCTCGTGATCTGATCTACACCAAAAGATAATAAGATAAAAAACAAAAACAAAAAAAACCACAACTGTTGTCAAAAAAAGCACAGGAACAGATTTACCTTCTCTGAGGCCTAAACAGGAAGGAATTATATCCCACATCTGGTTATATTTTACATGCATGTGCTTTAACCCACTGCTTCTCATCCTGTTTTAGAGCTAAAGGGCCTGTAAACAATAGCAGCCCAACAGGATCCTAAAAATGTTCATCAAAATCACTTATTCCCTTTTTTTCTTTCCTGAAAGAGATCCTTAACATGTGCTGAATCCACAGAAACACATCCATTATCAAGGATGCCTAAAACAGCTTTTCCCACAACTCATTTTCCTCCTCCTTACTGAGAGAGATTCAGAAGCATCAGCAGCAGGTCCTGTTGCAAAATAATAAAATCTACAAAGGCGTTTCACACTTCTCAGTTTTTTTTCTTTGTAAATCAGCTAAAAGTAACATGCATCCTTCACCTTCCACTTCAAAGTGTTGTGCTATATCGTTCTTTCTCTTGAAAAATTCCTAATAAACAAATTGCAGTTTGTTATTGCAATGCAAAATCTGAATAGCTTTGCTGTGTAGGAGTGAAAGACTCTGAAGTAGCTATTTAGGAAAATTATGCAATGTCACAATATCTTACTGAATAACACCTCCTGACTACTAAACAAAACAAGGCTGAGTTCAGGATACACTTTTCCACTTGAGTAGGAATGATGTTTTATTTCCATATCAGTTGTGGTCGTTGTTCCAATTCCTTCAACATGTGGGTATTTTACTGGAAGCCAAACAATGAATAATGTGTGCTTTACAGATAGCGGGGAGCAGAGTGGTGCAACATGGTCTATTTAGCCTGTCTGAATCATCTGAAGCACACAACAGCAGAATAACTAAAATATATAATTTGCACACATTGGGATGTATAAAAAAAAATCATTAAAAGTAAGATTCAAGATAAAGATTGAGTCAGCAAGATATGAATATCAACAACCATTTGGAAACCAAAATCTAAAAATATCAGTCTTTGTTGTTCATGCACAATTTTGTTGGTTTAGAAGAGTCAGAAAAGGGGTTTTACAGAGGACAATTGAGTAAAAACAACAAAACATGATCTTGTATTGTAATGCATAATAATAAATATAAACTGAAGTGTAACCCCTTTACATGGTAAGTTTTATATTATTCATTTTGAGGTAGGTTGCATGGTGATGCAGCTTTTAGCACTGTTGTTTTGCACCAACAATGCTTAAATTCCAGTATTGGGTCTTTCTGCATGGAGTTTGCTTATTGTTGGCATCATTCTCCTGCTCTCTCACACAGTCATGTATATAAGCTCCTTTCAAAGATGGACTGGAAGCTTGTTATCCCTGTTCCTGCTTAGTCACTACATTGTATCTGAATATCTCTTTTTGTTAGAAGCTCTTGGCTAAGGTTTTTCTGCCCTAACATTTCTTTCAGTTTGTCCCTCTGCAGGAATAAAAATGAATAATTATTTCTTAAACAATCTTTGTCCAACTGCATTAAATGCTAAATTAAATGTTCATAATTTTAATTAATACAATGCATTCAATTTGGAGTAGGCTGTCATTTTACAGAAAGGCGTCAAACACACTACAAAATGCACACATCTCTGTGTAATGCATTGATCTTTGTGTTTTATGGGACATCAGAACATTCCTCCACCCAACCTCCTGCCAATGCTGTGTGGCTGGTACCACTGATGTGAGTAGGGGTGGTACTGATAGCCGTGGTATATTGTAACAGTCATGGGAAACTGGGCTCCACTGCCCGGAATCCAATGCTTTTGCTCGTTTCTCATCAGCACTTTAACCGCTACAGTCTTTGGAGAGCTCAGCGCTGTCAGGTCTGTTGCCAACTGGCGCCGTTTCGTTTTGTATCTCCGGTTCTGGAACCAGATTTTCACCTGGGTCTCTGTAAGCTTCAGGGTGCAGGCTAGTTCTGCCCGCTCGGGACCAGAGAGGTACCTCTGGGTGCTGAATCGGTGCTCCAGCTCGTGGATCTGCGTGTGGGAAAAGGCCGCTCTGGAGCGCTTCTTGGCAACCTGCGTGGAGCGGCGCTGCTCGTGGGAGCAGCTGAGCGCCTCTCCGCCGTGGTGGAGGTGGGCCCCTTTTTTTCCTGAATCCACTTGGATCCTCTGCCGCGTATCCTGCTCCACACACTCCGCTTTGGCACACTCTGAGGCACATAATCAACAAACTTTTTATTCCCCCCACATTAAAAAGTGAAAAAAGCAAATAAGCCTATATGAAGCATATATTTAAAAATAAAGTAATACATCTAAATAAAAAAAAAAAAAAAAAAAAAAAAAAAAAAATCACAGTATGCTTTAAAACAACTCATATATTGTGTTTCAAATTTATATTACACACATACTCTATGCATATTTCTCAACATATTTTTTCTGCACATATTAAATCCAAACAAGGGTGTAAACTTAAATGACAAATGCATGCTGTCATGTTTTTTTGTTTTTTGGATTTTAGTATTTTTAACATAGGTACACATATAAGCAAACAATTAAAATTTATATGATTTAAACGCATTTATTTAAAAAAAATAAAATATAGGAAATTGTAAATTTAAACCTTACCTTCTCCAAATTGAGTCACAACCCCTCTCTCTGCCCTGCAGCTGTTGGATAGGTGGCTTTGAGACACGCTTATACCAGGAGAAAGACTTTGCTGTATGGCGCTGTCAAAGCCAGTGCGTAAATTGCGCGCAAGTGCGTGAAGCTCTTCAGTAGCTGTACTGTTGGGTTTCTTAAGAGGAACATCAATGCCAGTAAGAATGTCTTTGATTAAGAATGGTGAAAATTTTGATGCCATGATGCAGTGTAAGAGTGCAAGAACGTATGTCCAAACTCTGCCCCGCGATTCATGTGGTGGCATGAAGAGATCAGCGGTTCCAAAGCGAAGCCAGCTCTCGCTGATTTGATTTTCTGCTTCTTTAAATTATTGGCGGTCAGCTTGATCCATTCCCTTAATAAGCGGACTGAAGAACCAACTGCCAAGAGTTTCAGCGCTCCCAGCTAGAGCTTTAGTGAGATCTTGATAGGTTGTTTCCTTCCCCCGCTCCATCCATGGCGCCGCCCCGTCAGAATCTGCTCTCGGTTGAACTTCCACACAAGCAAAATTTATTCTGCCAACAAAAGAGGCAATTTGGAGTTCGATTTCGTTCAGTTATGTCTTATTAACCCCATGTCAATGTAAGAGCACCACAATGTAATCTGTACAAAAATGAAGATAATACAAATTGTTATAAGAAAAATGTGCTTTAAGCCGACCTGCTGAGCATCCTAAATGCTGTGATGAAACAAAAAAAGAAGGAAAACATATATATATATATATATATATATATATATATATATATATATATATATATATATATATATATATATATATATATATATATATATATATATATATATATATATATATATATATATATATATATATATATAATCTAAAGTTTGTACTGCGTAAAAGACTGCGTAAAGGTGCGACACATTCATCTTTAAATATAGATTGATAAATCTTATTTTAAAAGTTAGTTACTATCATAATACTGTGTATTTTTTTTCTTTTTCTTTTTTCTTTTTTTTTTTTTTTTTACCAATTATTGTTGTTTGTCAATGAAGCTATCTTCCAATAACTTTACATTAGTGTTTCTAGCGCCGCCACGTGGAAAGGATTCTTGGTTTATAAGCTAAGTGCTTCTAAACACCTCAAGGCTTTAGGAAATAAGTGATAACAACCCCATCCCAGATGGACACAGGCTATTACACAATCACCAAACCAAGCTCAAATTAGGAAGATGTGATGACAGATGCAGAGATCTGTCTGCTCCATTGGTCTTTGTGTTCTTCCTCCAACAATCCAGATAAATCTACTTTCCTCAGAGCCAGATCAGCTCAGTGTGTCACAGCCACTGGGTAGAAATTTTGATTATCTCATCATCTTATATTGTTTTGTCTAGATGTTTTGTAGTGGTTGTATTTTAAACCTTATGCGACAATCCTTTTTTTGATTGCTTACATTAGATTCCACTAAAATATGTCATATTGTTTTTGAAAGACATGTTTATGTTTAAGAGAATATACACCCCTGATTTTAATTTTTAAAAATGTAAAAGGAAAAAAAGGATTTTGAGATCAAATCGAAAAAACAAAAATAAAGTTCCAAAGCAAAAAAAAAAATGTCTTTAGAAATAAAATTGTTAAAATGTCAATGAGATCTGTGCCATTTTATACAAATGAAACAAACTGATACCATTTGACCGATTTTTGATAAACTTGTTAACTAAATTAGGCAAAATTATAAAGATAATTTATCATAAATATTATATTCACTTTAGTCTAAGATATAGCAAGTTAATTTTCACACTTTATCAATCAAACAAAATTATATAACAAAACGATAAAAGAGCTTTGTTACATGAAAAGGTTAAATATTGCATAAAATTTATTATCTGCTTTTCTGTTATTATTATTGTTATTGTTAGTATATGGGCTCTATAGCTGGCGTTTGGGTCCAATCAAGCCACGTTTACAAATGTGATGTGACTGTTATAACTGTATCAAGTCATCTTTTCAATGTTTTCATGCTTCTTTATGAGACATCACCAACTGATAGATACAAATTATACACAGTTATATCACGCAAAAGGGAAACAAGAAAAAACTAAATAAAAGCACAATTTAACTGATGTTTAATTTGAAAAGAATGAAAGATAAATGTTTGACTTAAATGCGAATGTTGTCTTTAAAGCCCATTAACCGACTTCCATTCTGACAGCTGCAAAGTCAGGCTATTCATCAGAGATCATTTCCTCATTTTAATCTTATCTAGAAACTGTTTTGAAAAGATCATTTCACTGAAAGCTTTCACATGTTTCATAATAAAGTGTAAACTTTCAAATTCCTATCCTAAATTTTCCTTATTGTCTTAATTTTCGGGAGTATTTATCTTTTTATTTGTATATTCTTGTCAAAATCTCAACACAGAGATAATGACTAATACTTGAGTTTATACTGTATCTGTCATGTGGGCAGTGAAGCTTTATACAGTAAGAAATAATTATTTAAGTTTCCGTATTAAACGAGTTTGCTTTCCCCTCTATATTTGGACCGTGGGTATTTTTTTTCCTGCAGTGGTTGCCATTGGAGACCTTTCTGTTTTGGGAAACTCCGCGTGCGCGCAGCCCAAACGATGAGCAGCTATCTTTGGAGGCGCGCGATAGTGATCGCGGGCGCCTGCCTGTCAGAGCGGCGGTGGCTCAGGCCGCTGCGTCCTCAGGCATCGCCGTCCTGTCGCCAGCTCTATTTACACTAGTGACTCTGCAGCACTTAAAGCTGACACCAGGTATGTCCTACACCGGCAGCGCAGTAGCCAGAGGAAGTGTCCAGGGAGGCCATCAGAGGAGACAAACACTCTGTTTACTTTGCAATTCATCTCCATTAATAGGGTCTGAGCGTCCTGGCATGCCTTGTAGGTAAAGGTATTTGCTGAAGTCCATCTGTGTGTTTATGTGTGTGTTTAGGATGGGTGATGCGTTGTGTTTTTTTTATTTTTATATTTTTTTCCCCATAATTTTTTTTATTATTTGAGCTCTGCTGGTTTACAGGCTGTGGGTGTTCTGATGATGCCTTCTGTCTGGTTAATGTCCATCTCTAAATCCTGACCGGACGTGAGCTCCCTTTTACATTTTCTCTGTTTCTGGTTCGTGTCTCAGACTTTCTCACAGGGGAAAAAAATGCTTTTTTTGCTTGAGAAACTGTTGTAGGCGATGAAAAATGTTGGAATAAAGCTGACTGGATAACAGTTTAGAGGAGGAATCCAAGTTGATAGCGTTCCATTTGGCGCAGAAAGAGACGCATTAAAAAAATCGTATGGCACACTGCAAAAACGATCTAGAAATGAGCAAAAAATTCTTAAATTAAGTCAATTTACCCTGAATTTGATTAAGAAAATAAGATAAGTTGCCAAATGAATGGGTATTTTTACTCTTAAAATAAGATAATTAGATAATATACACTTTAAATAAGACAATGCTATTGTTTTTCCTTATTTTAAATGTAAATTGTCTTTTTTCATTGGCAAAGTGTCTCACTTACCTTCTCAATTTAAGAAAAAAAATACACTTAATGTAAGAAAGAAATGGCTTATTTAGATTTAAATTTTTTGCAGTGCACTATTTAGTTGGATGTTTCATTCAGCCCCCATCAATCATTTATATATCCTGTTAATTGCCATATTTATTGAAGTCAAATACGGTATAGGCTTCATTATCATTCACAACAAGACAGAAAAATAGCATTCAGTTTTAACAACAAGTAAGATGTACAGTAGTAAAATATCAAAACACGTTTTTGTGAAGTCGCACTTTTCAGCGATTGCAGTGCATTTTGTGGTTTTGTTCTGGCTCGAAGCAGGGCTCTTCCATTTCTTCCGACATTTATTCTATTACTTACCCGATATCACACCTAAAAAGCTAATGCTCATTTAGAAATGTACAACTTTTGTGTTATTTTTGGACCACATTTGAATGTTTAAAATTGTCCAATACTGCAGTTTAAAAGTTTTCTTTAAGCAGTCTGTTTTAGGGTTATTTCAGGATACAACCCAAAACATTCTTAGAGTTTGCAAGAATTGCATGCTTGAGGTCCATCCATGAATCCAGGAGAGTCTGCAGCTACCATGCCCGGATACCCTGTAGAGTTCCCTGGCATGGTGGGATCACCGGTGCTTGAGGAGCCTGGTTTTGCGTCTGCGCGCCTAGATTCCCCAAATTCATGAACGCATTAGGAGTACTGCTGCTGGGTGGAAGTGCAGGCAAACTGGAATAAGTACAGGAGTAATTGTTATTGTACACAGAGTTGTTGTAGCTGTAGGATGAGTAGTTATAGGTGTAAGGGGTCGGAGCTGCGACTGTGTAGGGGTTATTATAGTTCTGAGATCCTGCAAGGCAAGGCCTCCCGTCCCGGACCAGGACCGGGACAGCCACCCTCCGTGGTGGAGGTGGATGGTGATGATGATGGTGATGATGATGGTGACCTGCGATCTCCAAAGTCTTGTCCTGCCTCTGTCTCTTACATTTGTACCTCCTGTTCTGGAACCAGATCTTGACCTGGGTGGAGGTGAGTTTCAGGGTGCTGGCCAGGTGCTCCCTCTCCGGGGCGGACAGGTAGCGCTGCTGCTTGAAGCGCCGCTCCAGCTCGAACACCTGAGCCTGAGAGAAAAGGACGCGCGGCTTCCTCCTGGTCCTCTGCTGCTTGGTGACGGGCTTCTCTGGCTCGGTGTCTTCTCCATAGTCGCCTTGCAAAGCGGCGCAGCTATCTGTTTTAAGAACATTAAAAAAATATTAATAAAATAATAATAATAATAATAAAATTAAAAATATAAACAGTGAAAAGGAATAAGAATACGACTTTCATGATTGGACCACATGACTAATTTATTTCTGTTTGTCTTATAAATTTTATTGCTGTGAATCGACGTTATAAAAAAATAGTCCATAAGGTTAGCTGAACCTGCCTAAATAATTAAATTGTATTGGAAAAGTTTAACTACGTTTTTGCATATAGATTTGATAAATTTGCCTTTAGAATACATTTACATAAACTTTGTTGTAAACTGATGCTAAATAAACGAACTGAATTAAGCACTGTGCTTTTAATCCATCCAAGTGTTATATTAATTTATTAATTGATTTGTGTAAAACGGAAATAAAACTAGAAAATAACAAAAAAGCAAAAATTAATTTGCTTAAAAACAAACAAATTTTAAGCCCATTCAACGTGAGTTGATCATAATTATTCAGGTAGATGCAGGTATTTTCTAATGTTGGTAATGGCCCTATTAAAGGTTAGAGCAAGGGTATATAGGTGGACACTAATTATTTTAAAGAGCCACAGAGCATTGTGTTTTAATATGGAAGAGCTGCAGAATCTTGTACATGACATGTACTTTTCTCGGCGTGTTTTTGATGTGTAGAATTATTATTATTTTTTTTTTGTTGTTGAATTGATATGATGTGAGAATCAACACCAAATCAAATAGACATTCATTTTGATTTGATTTGAGCTGCAACAAAATCTTATTTGATCGCATATCGAATGTCACTGTGATTACATATATATATGTATATTTATCACATCTGATAGTATTTCGTATACTTTACAAAATTACCATGCAATTCCAAAAATCTTATGTGATCGCATGTGTTTCCATTCCCTTATGTGTCTATAGAATCGGACACTAATAACCATTGAGCTTTCCACTCACTGCTGTCATGCTCCTCCTGTTCGGTTTCCAGGCGCGGTTCTACGGAGTGAATCGATGCAGCCTCTCCGAACATCTCCCCAGTCAAAACAGAATCAGAAAGTCGCTCCTGGACGCTCAGGGCGCTGAGGTAAGACATCCTCTCCTCGCTCTCCGACAGGCAGGAACTAATGGGGCTGGGGCTGTCCCTTCCCGCCAGCATGCAGGACGGCGGTGACTGAGAGCCGAGCGGCTTGTTTGGGAAGCCTCTCGGCTGTGGCAGCGCGCCGGAGAGGCCGAAGCAGGAGATCAGCTGAAGTTGGTGCTGCTGAGACTGCTGCTGCAGCTCCAGCTTCAGAATGTCCTTCACGGAAAAGGGCGTGGTGGACGCAGCAACAACTGGACTGGGAATCATGTTTAACATAAAGGTGACAAAAAAAAAAGAGCCGCAAAACTCAGAAGCGAGTTGATTTCTATCAGGATTTCGAATGGAGATGGTTAAGAGCCCGTGCGTAAAGCTGGGAAATGGTCGCGCCTTGCTTGCTTTCCACGCAGATCAGAGAAATGCTGGCTTTCTTTCAGCTGTGACATACCTCTCCTCGGACTGTGCGCCCGTGGCTGGAGGGGGGACAGGAGAAAGAGAGAGGTCGATCCTGTTTGGCTGGCTAAATTCAGTTATCTGTAGAAAGAGCTGGGTCAGCCAAGATGCTGCCCTCTCTCTTTCAGTGACGTCCCGGAGCGGGGGGGGGGGGGGGGGGGGGGGGGCAACCCACGGAGATTCTGTGCAGACTGCCCTGTATATCAATGGGTTTATTCCTAATTTATGACATTTTATTGCAACCAACGACTCTTCTCAGAGGAATAATTCATTTTGACGCATCTTATTTTCTCAGCGGACACGCATAAGGATTTCATTTTATTTCTCTGGCATAATTAACTTCTTTCACGAAGGAAAACTCTTGTTTTTGAATCTACTTTGATTAAGTAGCACATTTTTTTTATTTTCATGAATTTTAAAAAATGTGGATCAGAGTTTCTTTGCTCGATGGCCATCCCAGCACTTCCCATCATCACCGTCGTGGTTTGAGATAAGCGGTATCCTCATTTCCTGACGAAAAATAACAAGGATAAGATAATCCATCTGTGGATGGAAACCAGGAGGCCTTTTTGGATACAAATCCAGGACTTAAGAAGGTTTGTTTTCCATAGACCAGTGGTCACGAAATGTTTTCAAATTGAATCAATAAACATAAAATAACTTCCTTCAAATATGTATTTTATGAACTGTGTAAATATGCACATACATTTCCATCTAGTAGAATACCTGTAGACTATAGATATGATATATAGTTCCTTAATTTCTTAGGCTTCCTTTTGTGTCTGATTATTTTGGGAAAATGATTCCTCTGATTTCACTTTGCTTTACTCTGTCGATTTAGACAGAGCATTGTTTGAATTGTAACTTTTCACTATTTATTGTCGAATCCTTAATAAAGATAGAATATTTATAGTAACGCTTCTCATAAATATTTGCATTTATTTGGTCTTTAAATTGTTTTGAAATGCCTGGTAAAGCCCATTAGGAGAAACATATGAATGAGTCGGAATATTTGTTTCCTCCTCTTCAGTTGTTCCATGGTCCTTAAAGAACTGAGTCCTTTGAACATGTAAACAACAGATTTAACCAGTTACTGTTTACATAGATCTTCATAATGATAATAATAAAAATAAAATCCATGCATTATATTTTTGGCATATCTCATTCTCAACTAATGCGTTAGAGGCTACCCTTTTTTTTCAGTTTCACTTTAAGTTTTTCCCATTACTAGTCTACCAATGGCTTACTACTACTGCTACTACTACTAATAATTATAATGTAAATAAATAAACAAATTAATAAAGGTGTTCAATTACGTGTGTCTTTTGTTGCTATTTCATGGACCAGAGACCTGTGCAGGACAACACAGAGATAAGACAGCCTTATCCAAGTCTGCAGGCTTGGATACACTATTATTCTACTTGTCTTTTTCTTTGCATTTATTAATTATCTGCTTATTGCAGTGTTATTAACGTTTTCAAAAATATATATTTTCAATACAGGCATAAATAGGTGCTACTAATATTGTGACTCTAACTACTAATAGTAACAATATTGGTTTATTATTGTTGTTTATTAATTTAAGGAAGAAAAAGTATTTACATCTTAAAGAAAAATCTTGAAAATGTGTGGCGGTGAAACAGGACACCTGTCTCCTGGCCGACTATCTGTAGCCAAGTGCAGGCGCCAGGGTCTGAGGGCCTGTTGCTCTTAAACCGTGTGGAAAGAAAAGGAGAGAATGTCCACATAATCTCATCCGCTCCCCATCAAGGACGATGTTTAGATTAGAGCACTGTCCTGTTTTTTTCTTCACAGTTTTTTCTTTTCTTTTGTTTTTCTCCTCTTCTTTCAGACATTAGTGGCATAATAGTTCAGGTATATACTTAATTTGGTCTCTTATGGCGCCCATACTTTTGATTATGACAGACCTGGGGATATTTTATAGATTTATTTGCGATCTAAATAACTACTAAAGATATCTCGGCGTGTACATGTCCATTAAACGACAAGAAACAGAACATATTTTATGATTAATTCCAAATATAATTTTTTCGGTATTTTTAAGCAGTCTGTAAAATCCTCTTTATGGAATGAAGGGACCCTAAGGCTGAAAAACAACTCATCCTCCCCCTAATACCTCACTTAACAGGCGCGTCTTTGCGCTCAGCCTCTCCACTGACCGTCATCTTCATCACCATCCTCATCATCAGCAGCGCTCCTCGCGTGCCACCGGCAGCCCGAGGTTGCCCAAGCAGAGGCGCGTGTTTACGGAGCGGAAGAGTCTGTTTCCTGCCTGTAACAAAACCCAGACTCTCGGAGAGTGTCAAGGAGCTCCTCGGTGCTGAGTGCGACTCCCCCAATACATCATCTTCATCCCAGAATCAGCGCGATAAGATGGGTAAGGTCAGAGCTGCTGCAGAGGTCAGCCAGCATTTATAGAGGTGTGAGAATAACAACCTCAAGGAGAGATTCAAATAAAACATGTTTTTTAAACCATCTGCTGTATTGCCTTTTATTTTGATTTCCATCTTCTTGATGTTAGTGCTTTGCCAGGTATTGATGAACATGTCTCTTCTTGCCTCTGCTTATCTCTGGAAAGCTAAAAGCTCTTTGCCCCAGAGTGGCAGGTGGATACCAGTACAGCCCCAGAAACCAATCATCTGGGAGATGTAGGGTTGCTTTTTAAACACACAAAACCCCTTGAGCAGAAAATGTAATTGAGAAGACTTGAAAGTGATTGAAATTTTTTTTTTCAAATATGGCTAGTTTACAGCCAGAGACCGTGCCTTGCAAAAAGCATGCATACATGTGTTTATTCTAATACGTCTTGTATTAGAACCACAACATTTATTGTGAAGTGTGAGAAAAATTGGTAAAAAAAAAAAGTTGTGTACATTTTTTTCTGCAAATACAAGTCATAATTTTGTGGGATTGACATAATATCACATCACACTTGATGAAGATTTTTTGCTGTAATGTTCCAGTGTACCCAACATATTTATTTTGGGTTTTTATTTGAAACATGAATAAGCTTTACTCTACACCACTGCAAAAACAAAGCAAACTCCAGATTGGAGTTATGAAAAGCAGCCCGGGCCACAGGCGGCTACGCTCTACTTCTTATATTCATTCAGCTAGCTAATCTAAATCGTTCAATTCCATTTAAAGAGCGAGATCATCTGTGGTAGTAGCACTAGACATCTTCCAGGCATGTGAGTAAAACTAGTAGCAGTTCAGCGGACAGGATGAATGAATGGTAGCCGGCGCGTGCGGATGACATCATACACACTCCGCTTTGTTTTAAAACAATATAAATATAAAAAATATAACCGTGGATGTCTGGGGGACAGTGATTCTCCTACATGTTATGAATGCTGGCGTAGCATAAATGATAAATTATGAAAAGTTTAGTTTGTGCCTTCAAGTTGTTGCCCATAGGAAGACGCTATTTGGATTACAAAACCGAATATCTTCAGAAAAGCTCCAAATGACACAAAACTAATATGGGTGAGTGGAACATGATGTAATAACGTAAAATCAAGGTGCCAATGTAAAAAAAAAGAACGAAAAAAAACGTTTTCCCCCTTTAAGGTTCCCATAAACTTCTAGATCTGCTTTAACATGCAGGAATTACAACATCAGGTGATTATCAAGACCTTGTAAAACATTATGACATGTTGAGGAGCAATTCCAGTATGTTGGACTTAGAAGATGTCAACTGCTGAAGAAAAAACAACCCTACAGCATGATGCTACCATCATCCTGTTTCACAATTTCAATACTGAGTTCAGGATGAGGATCTGTGAATTTTGTTTTTTTTCTTTTACAGCCTAAGAGCAGAATGTGGGGCAACCAGACCAAGTGTCAGAGCAGATCACCTTCTTCAACATTTTTGTTCTAAGTGGTTTCTTCTTACTCTTCTTTTGTAAAACATAGATTTGTTAAGTGCACAACTGATGCAGTAGTTATCCTGCCAAGAGGTCCACCTACTTTAGCTACTGTCTTTGTACCTTTACCACATTACCACGACACTCAATTTAGATTGGTCTTTTTGTTCTCTATGTTGCTTTTTGGTCACTAATGTTGTCTTGTTCTCTACAACCTGCAGACCAACTGTATTCATGCCAACATTAAGCTATAAGGAAAGTAATTGCACAAGGTTGAAACATCTATGAAAATAAACAGATGAAAGTCAGACATCCCTTTGCAGTCATCTTTCAACAGAATAATTAAAGGGAAAAAAAACTTATAAGAGGCCTGGGGAAATATGATGGTATTCTTAGCTTGACATTTTGTTGCACAACCTTTAAAAGCAATTGCTGCAGTGAAATAATTCCTGTAACTTTTAATAAGACTTCTGCACCTCTCACCAGGCATTTTCTCCTGCTCACACAAACCACTCCAGTTGTCTCATGTTTAAAGGCTGCCTGTTGCAGATAGTATGTTTCAGCTCCTTCAAAAGATGCCCAATAGGATTTATGTCAGGACTCATAAGCCCCATTTACACTACCCTTTTGAAACCATACAGAGAATGGTCCGAGCACAGTAACAGAGATAACTGTTGAGTCTAAATAGACTCAACCCAATAGAAAACAACCCAACGGTGCTAAACTAGTACTAGTTCAGCAGCAGGGCTTGGCATGGCTCATCTGTGGCTCGGTTCTCTGATAACAAAGAAGGCATGGGCAGACCGTCTCATCTCTTATTTACAGTCAGCTGACTGATTTTGCGGGTTTCCGCCATGTCGGGCTTTTTAATTCACAGATCTTTTCATCTGTTCACAACACAAACTTCTTCTCAGCCTATAAACAATAAATGGCATCAAGTAGGCAGTAGGATGCTATCAAGGCACATAAGTTCCTGAATGTTATTCACCATTTTTGTGTTCGTAATTCCTGCCTTGAGAATTGTAGCATTTTGGACCGCCGATATGTGGCAAGGAACCATGCTAGCGTGATGTGTAAACTTGGAACAGTTAACTGATCCAAGTTGGTCCGAATTCGGCATGGATCAGAGGGGTAGTGTAAATACGGCAACAGAAGACCACTGCAGATTAGTCCAAGGTTTTCATTTTCATCATTGTTGGGTGTTTTTAGCTGTGTGTTTTGAGTTATTATCCTGTTGAAGACTCATGAACGCCGA